GCGCCAGCACTGCCGCCCTAAATAAAGCATACTCTAAAGTAAGGAACCCGAACTCTGTAACGGCCCATGAGACGACACGGCGCCAGCACTGCCGCCTTAAATAAAGCATACTCTAAAGCAAGGAACCCGAGGACTGCACGGCGCAGGAACAGCCGGTATGTCTGGACAAGAAAATATCATGCGTCAATGCCTGAGAACCATCTTGAAGCACATGAACCCTACTTTTGCGGGGGGTAGGACGTGAGGCTTTACAATTATTCTGCACTTCTGCTGCCAATCCCTTTCAGCAATTCTGCGTGTGTGGCTTGGGCATTAATACCACAGTGACCTGGCCGCATTGCAAGCGAAAGCTTGGACTAAGTTGCAACAAAAAGCCCCCGCCTAGACAGCAGAAGGCCTCTTTGGCAGGCTGACCTTGGTCGCACTAACGGTGGGAAATCTCAAATAGCTTATTGGTTGACAGTCTGAATCAAAGACATCATCAGCAACAAGTCGCTGCCCTGCTTCGTGTATACACCGTACACTTGAAACTGCTAGGATTTGATTGCGCCAATCTTTTTGCAATGAGCAAGGCGCACTCCTGCACAGGATTGTTCAACAAGCGGCCGTCGCAGCCAAAAGCATCAGAACTGAACCCAAAATTTGAACCACGCAACATCCCGCGTAACACAGGTAGAGACGCTTTGTTCTGCTGTGTGGCATTGGGGCAGTTACAGTATAGCAGGATATGGTCGCAGGCTCGGCCCATCTCTGAGTGCACATCGGACGGCACATGAGACATCAAAATGAGAAGTCCATCAGACTTCAAAGAATCAGCCTTCATGGCTGCACTGCACTAGAAGCTAGCGCCTAGAATCTTAGAACTCCTCCTCATCTGCATTTTCCGGCTGGCCATCATAATCTTCATCATCCTGGTCCAGGTCATCCGCAGCCGGCCGCTCGGAAGCCGTAGTTGGAGCCGTTGGGGAAGGCAAGGGAGGCCGGCTCTCGGACCCCGTCAAAGAATTCTCACGCGAAAGAATGCGACTTCTCATTATGAATCCATCAGCACAGCCGCTCATGATCTCGAAAGTGATTCTGAGCATCAAGGCTTGCCAAATGAGTTGCTTGTGACGAT